ATTCCCCGGCTGCTGGTGGAGAATCGGTGGATGTTCACTCATTGGACGGGTAAAACTAAATTTCCTTGATTTTTGAGATTTTTTCATTTTAATTTACGATAAATTAAATTCCTGAACTGAACTGTTTTTTCTCTCTTTTTACAGTTTTCTACACCAAACCCTCAGCTGCCGGATTTGGTTGAATTGCTGTAAATATGCTTAATTTTTTCAGAATGAATATTATCATTGATTGAGATCTGTGTTATTATCTTGCAATATGGTCAAGTGAAAAAGAGAACGTCGAGGTAAACGAAATGCAAACATGTAGAACTTTGTTTTTATTTAATAAACCGCTAGATTTATCAATTAATAGACTGACTTAAACAGAAACCAAAATTGAGATGTTTTTCCTGCTTTACAACTCACTGACTTTTATCCTTTTTTTCTGCATCAGTAAGAAGAAGAAACTCCAGCCAGTCTTGCAGAACTGAAGACAGACACGAAAAACCTGCATCTTCTCTTCAAGAAAGCTGCTCTCTGTTGCTGTACTATTTACTATCTTGATGACAATAATCAATCATTACATGAACAATACTCCTCCTTTACTCCTGTGCTCAAAGAAATGACAGCAAGCCATGAAATATAACATTTATTAAAATGTTCAACTGGTTTTCATATAAAAGCTTACAAGCATTTTCTGCTACTTTACTGATTTTTTATCATAATATAAAGTTGGTAGCAAACAAAATAAAAATGTTGGCATAAATACAAAATGAGTGTGTCATCTTTATTCTTAGAAACTCAGAAGAAGCTTTCATAATTGGAGATAGTTTAATTAAAATTTTTATTTACTCTGGGTAAGCTGCCCAGTATAACCACAGCCTGTCGACAGACCGGTAGACACCGAGTCCAGCTGTGAAAGTCCCTTTTATCAGTGTGCACTGGTCAGCAGAAGATACTGTACATTTCTGTGTATTCTGATCTGCAAATCAAAGCAGAGGAGGTAGTACTGCTCTCTCTGTAGACTGGCTTAAGAGTACATTTTGTAAAATGTATAACTAAATGATTTGTTCAATAGAAAGTTCCTCAACCAAGATTTTGTACAGTGAATTATAGGAAAAGGGCACCAGCTGCATGCGATTGGGCACCAGCACGCAGACAGTATTCTAGCATTTACAGCCGCCTTTATGGCATGTTTTCTCCACTGGAAGGCCACCATGGAGGGCACATCATCATGTTTTCTTTAATGGAAGTGCACCCTAGAGGGCCATTTATAATGTTTTATCTGCCATAGAGGCATCATACCATAGAGGCATATTTTGCTGCGGTTTGTCTGAACAAGAGGGCATCCTTGGTGCATTTATAAGCACTATAATAAATGTACACTTTAATGTAGCTGTACACAGCTAAAAGGACATTTTAAAATATTGAAAATGGCCTCAAAACTTTCCACAATGGAACAAAAAGGTAATCTTGCGACATGTAAACTTTTCCCTTACAACCCCACAATGTGATGCAAAGCAAAAGTTGTGCATCACGACACCTGCCAGTGATGATGCAAAATGATTTGTGGGAAGTGGAATGAACGAGGAAGTGATTTTGGACACGATTGTGACATGATTGTGACTGAGTAGCATGTTGCCAGCTACCTAATGTGTTAGCTGTTAGCCTCTCAAGAGTAGTTCATCAGCAGCCCTGTGAGTTCCTGCATCACTCTATAGAGTCAGGGCCTCCTGGCATGTTAGTGAAACATTAAATGAATGTCTGTAACAATGAGCTTTCTTTCATAGTGTCTGTTATAGGAACAAGATAAGGGGTAAGGAGGTTGGCATCGGTGGATCTGAGATTGCGGTTGGGAGCGTGTCGATGCAGGAGGTCCGAAAGGTATGAAGGGGCGAGGTTAAGAAGGGCTTTGTATGTGATGAGAAGAATCTTGAACTGGATTCTTTGGAGATTGGGGAGCCAGTGGAGGTTGTGAAGGACTGGGGTGATGTGATCTCTGGTGCGGGAGTGGGAGAGCAGACAGGCAGGGACCATGATCACTAGACAGAATAATACAAACTACTTAACGTAACATGCCCTGTGACTTCTCTCCACTTGGTTCTCCATGCATAAATATTTATGTGGCCAACTAGGAACCAAAATAATTTCGTAGTGAAAAGAAGAATCAGTGTCTATGTTTTCTGTTACTGGGTGGAGGAGCTCGACAGCTGAGGCAACTCAAAACAGGAGAAGGAAGTATTTATCTCAAGAAAAGAAAAAGAAACAAGCCTCTACGGCCAAATCTTGATGGATTAAAGCTGAAAGGTAATCTTCCACATTCCTCGTGGTTTTAGCCGTGGCGAGGTTATTAAAACTAAGTATGTGAGTGTAAAGTGAAATACAGTAAAGACACCACAGGTTCATGCTTTCTGTAGCAAGAAATCATTTAATACAGAGTGACATTGTAGGAGCCATTAGTTATGTCTGTGTATTATATGTTTGAATTAGGAGTCTATATCAGGTTGACCACGGGTGGCAGTGTGGAGTATTGTGGCAGGTAATTAATATGTGGGGCACAGGTGCAACTGACAGGTAATGAGGCATGGGTGACGGGAAGATCGCACGGTTTTCACCGCAAGCCAGACACACCAGAGGGAGACCAGGAAGATAAGTGCTATCCTATTGTATATCATCTGTGAACATTAATTAAACGGGAACCTCACCCAAAAGTGTGAAACGCCTGGAATCTCTTTGTTGTATCGAGTAAGGAACAGGATCTTCTCCCGCACCCAGCCGAGTGGCTAGTTGCTGCAATCAGTCACTACAGACATATCTAACTGCCATCAGTTAGTTTGATGTGGACAAAGAGGGCGTATGCAGATACAAATAGTCAATCCACATGCATATGTTTAAGCACAAGTCTGATTTAATTATCACACTGACTCACATTATCTGCTTCTTTCCCCTAACCACATATAAGAAAACTACAAATCTTAAGCAATGTGATGTTAGTTTCATTCACCAATAATTCTGTTCTGTTTCTTTAATTGTTAACAAGCTACAATAGCCTCCAACATGATTTAGGGTAGCCATGGCTGGATTTAACTTTTTATTTTGAATACAAAACACTTGTTTTTATTTACTGAACTGCGGCCAAAGTACAAAATAACAATTTTAAATCACTGTAGGGAACTTATGATAAAAAAAAAATAGCAACGTAGCAGAAAACGCTTGTAAGCTTTAATATAAAAACCAGTTGAACATTTTAATAAATGTTATATTTCATGGCTTGTTGTCATTTTTTTGAGCACAGGAGTAAAGGAGGAGTATAGTTCATGTAATGATTGATTATTGTCATCAAGATAGTAAATGGCAAAGCAAGAGAGAGCAGCTTTCTTGAAGAGAAGATGCAGGTCTTTCGTGTCTGTCTTCAGTTCTGATGTAAGACTTGCTGGAGTTTCTTCTTCTCACTGATGCAGAAAAAAATGACAAAAGTCAGTGAGATGTAAAGCAGGAAAAACATCTCAATTTTGGTTTCTGTTTAAATCTGTTTAAGTCAGTTCTGTTTACGCACATTTACATTAATTCTTCCAAATCCGGGCTTGATGTAGCAAACTGTAAAAAGAGAGAGAAAAAAAAGTCTCTAAAACAGTTGAGTTCAGTTCAGGAATTTAACTTATCGTAAATTAAAATGAAAAAATCTCAAAAAGGACATTTTTACCTCTCCAATGAGTGAACATGCACTGGGCCTCAACCAGCAGCCGGGGAATTGTCGTTTCACCTTTTGTTCATCCTTTCCT